GGGGAAAAAATAAGAACCAAGAGAGTATGTAAAGGTGCATATCTCCAATGATGAATGTCATTATATTGTACACCTAAAATGTACCAATAAAAGGATAAAAAAAAGGAAGCAAGGCTGAAGGACAGAAGAATATTACTCAAGCTTCAGGAAGCTACTGAAGAAGACAAGAGGGAAGGAAAGAAGAAAACCAAAGCAAGAACAAAACAAAATAATAAACCCCCTAAAACCAATATTCCCACTCACAAAAAATAACAATCAAAAACAAAAAAAGAAAGAAAGAAAACAAAACCCAAACAAAGGAACAACAACACAACAACAAAAAGACCAATAGCAAAGAAAGAAAAAAAAATTCTCATGATTTCAATCCTATGGCTATCTTCTGGTATACAGTTTTGTGGTAGTGTCCAATTCAAGGCACGACTCTGCTCTTGCTAGTAGACAAGGGAGTCAATCAGAGCCTAGATCCTTGCTGAATAATTCCTGCAAGCTGACAGTAGAATTAGGTCAGTGTGCTAGTTTGGTACTTTCAACTCCACAGAAATTCAGGCTGAATCTGGCCTCTGGTCATGGTGATGAGGCCTGAGTTCTTTAGCTTATAGTATTCTTGATGTCTTTTACTGGCCTGACCATGGTTCCTTCACATGGACATCTCCCATGGATCTCCCTCACCCAGTCAATGTGGGAGTTTAACGCTGGGAGCCTTGAGATGAAGCCAACCTGTGGCTCCTCTGAGTCTCAGGTTCGGTTGGCACCACCCTAACATGGTGTTCGACAAGGCATCTTCTCCAGGGGATACGGCAAATGCTTGGGCTGGTTTCACTCACCAGCTGTTGTAGTTCATGGCATCTACTGCTCTGTTCCACTGGAGCATTTGTCCCACTGGAGCATTTGTCCCTGAAGACCTCTGGAGTCATCCGCCTTCGTTGCGTCTTTGTAGATTCAATCTTCCTTTTTCTTGCCACAAGGTAGGAGCTGGGAAGAAAGTGCAGATTGCGTCTTCCTTTTTCTGCCTTGTGGTCTGACTCTTCAATTTCTTTGTAGGCTCCAATTTTCCCTTAGGATCCTTCCTGTGTCCCTGGGTTCTACTTCTCTTTTTCTTTCCCATATTATTTTCCAGTGTCAGTATTCCAAATCTTGGAGAAGCTAATTTATTGTTACTTACTGCCCTGCCATCTTCCCAGAATCCCATTGGCAGTACATTTTGATAGATTGAAGAGTATATGAGCAAAATAAAAGAAAGATAATAGGAAATAGGGAGATGTATCTTTCTCAAAGGTTAAGGGGATCAAGAGATGGATGGAGGGGTGATAGAGGTGAGGGAAAGGTGATATAGGAATCAAGATGTGTTATGAACATGTACCAACTCAACACAGGAAATATGTACATTATTTATTGCACACATGTCTCCCCAAAAAGAAAGGGATCAAGAGATGGATGGAGAGTGGAAGGAGAGAAGGAAAATGGGATAAAAAAGGAATTAAGATATATATTTTACATGTATCAATTGCCCACAAGGAATGTAAACATTATATAATATAAACAAATACTAATTAAAAATTTAAAAATTTTTTTAAAAGTATATGAAGTCAAAAGACTTGGCTGCACAATTTATTCCTTATGTTATTGGCTGAAGTACCAAGTAACTTCTATGAGCCTATTTCCTCATCTTTATAATAGTGAGTAAGTAATAGTGAGTAAGTAAGTCATTCAGTAAAGATCAAGTGATGTAGTAGATATGTAAACACTTTTAAAACAGTAAAACATAAAGCAATTGAAATATGGTGTTATAAAAAGTCTTGCTAGAAATCTTTTGTCCATGGTGAGGAGATTAATTCACACCTTATTTTCTGAAGGAGGTGCCAAGGCTGGAATCCTGAGCAATGAATTATGTTTTAGTTAGGACTTGATGAAAAGTACAACTTTAAGTCAAAATGTTATGGTTATATATATGTTCATATGTGTGTGATATGTGGTGCATTCATGTCATGACCATAGGTGTGTATGTTCTAGGGATGACCTGTGGGAAGGGATACATATTGCCACGTGATGTCTGTTGTCTGAACTCTTTTGCCTTCAATCTTAGGGTTCCATGATTGCTTAGAGGAATCAGTCCTTCCTAAGCAGACTGATGGAAAAGCTAACTTCTAAAGACATATTCAGGAATTCAGGGCTAGGGAGAGAGTGCTTAAGTCTCTTTCCCTGACAGGCGGTATGTTCTCTATTCTAGAATGTGTTTCTCCAAATGCTGAGAAGACCCCTAGCTCCCATCCTTATCACTGTGCTTAGATGAGTATCCTGAATATGTGCATTTGTTCATGTGGTGGGAGAATAGATGTTTTCTGCTATTGTTTGCAGACTGGGTCTTGCTTTCCATGAAGTCTAATGATCTGGGTTAGGGTGCATACCCTCCCTTGCTTTGCTGGATGGTCTTTAGCTCATCTCTCAATTTCTTTGCTGCCCTGTTTTGATATCCATTAAATGCAGAAGTCAACCAATACCCCCATATTTATCTCACAGGGTGGTTGTACAAATCATTAAATTAATCTGTGCCAAAGTTGAGTTTCTTGGGGACAGAGTATCACAGAAAATCAGTCTTTCATACCCATGACCTTTCTGGTGGCATTGTGCATAAGTGAGGGCAGGAGGCTGAAGCACTGGGGTCTGTTGTGTGTGAGGAGTGTCATGATCTGTTATTCCAGGGAGAGGGGTTCAATGGGGTACCATCAACTCTCAATTGGTCAGTTACAAGAAAATAGAAAGGGGAAAGAGCACAGATAATTGAAAGTTAATATGCATGAACCTCATTTTAGCTATTGATTTAATGCTGGGAAGATTCCAGACTCATAGAGAGATGAACCAAAGAGAGATGAAATAGAGCTTTCTTCTCTATGGGAGATCATGAGTAGGATAACATATGTGTGGTCTATATCCACACGTTGGATCATTCTATGCTTTGGCTAATGGAGAGTTGACAGAATTATCTTGTAGTCCAACAGAGCTTGCCACTCCCCTTAACCCCACCCCTATCATGAGAATGTATAAGATTTTCCCTAAGTAGTAGAGCTCTGTGGGTGGGGGAAGGAACAAGAAAAGTAGCCAGCTATGTGGACTGAACACGTTCTTATTTTGTCTCCTAAGCTGATCACTGGAGATTCCATCGTTAGTGCTGAGGCAGTATGGGATCACGTCACCATGGCCAACCGGGAGTTGGCATTTAAGGCTGGCGATGTCATCAAAGTCTTGGATGCTTCCAACAAGGATTGGTGGTGGGGCCAGATCGACGATGAGGAGGGATGGTTTCCTGCCAGCTTTGTGAGGGTGAGTGTCCGTCTTCACTCTCCTCTCCTCTCTCCTTGGCTGCCTACTCCTGGCTTACCCTTCACCAGCCCCTGTTATCCTGCTCAATCCTCTCCTAGTGGCTTTTCTCATATTTTTTATGTTTTATTTTATTTTTTGTCCCCTACCTAGGACCTTGGCTTCATCTTCACCTTTCTAATTTTTAGATGTTTCTTTTGTCTCTTGTGTTTCTTGTTTATTTTAATAACCCTCCTCACTTCCTACCTTTGTTCAAATCACTTTCATCATTTGGGCCTTAGTTTTCCCTTCTGAGGTTGGCCTGGGTGGATTTGATGGTGCATTTAAGTGTATATTCTATAAACATTTTTGCCTTTCTTATATTTCTTTTTAATGTTTTCTCTCTTTTATTATTTATTCTTTTTTTTTTCCTTTGGTACTGGGGATCGAACTCAGGACCTTGCGCTTGCAAGGCGGGTGGTGGAACCACTGAGCTAAATCCCCGGCCCTTATTATTTATTCTTGCAGATCCTGCCCATCTTCTCTGCTCTCTTCTTCTCTCTGCTCTGTCATCCCATATATTTCCCTCCTCTCCTTTTTCTCTGTTTCATTTACCTTGTTTCATTCAGAGAAGCGTGAATACGCCTGTGTATTATAGGACTCTTACTGTAAGAGTATATATGCCCTGCCTCATCTCCTTGAGCTAGGCTTACTGATTGTATACATTACTTTTTGAAACAAAGTCAAATGGTTAGGATCTAAAATGTGCCAGGTGTGGTAAGCAGGAAGCCTGCAAGAGCTTACAAGGCCTTGGCATTTGTACCACGAAGCACCTGGCCAATAACAGAGGAACTCTCAGGAGGGGGCTTCCAGGAGTTTCTTCTCCCTCTGGGCCACTAATTTATAGGGTGCTGTGGGAGAAGAACACTGGATAGGTGCCCCAGCTCTTGGCCTTCTGTGAGATTGTGAGATGGAATTTGTTCTTTCTTATAAGCTTAGGTTTTTCCATCTACAAAATGGTACTGGCAATTCTTTAATGCCATGGGATGTCACAGTGAATAGGATAAAATGTGAAAATTGCTTCATGTCAAGGCAAATATCAAAGGAACATGAGGGTGTGTTATGACTATCCTCACTATAACCTATTACTTTTTGTTAATTTCCCTTGTAGAATGAGGCCTGAGTCTTCTAGACCACAAACAAAAGACTCTTGGAGATTGAAGGGTCTCAAGGGTTACATTATGGCAGAGTGATATGAGGGAAGGAGCAGGGTATTTGGAATCAGATAACCTGAGATATAGCTTTACTACCTCTTGCCTCCATGGCTTTTGACAAAATTTTTAATCTCCCTGATCTTTGGTTTCCTTATCTGAAAAATAGGGCTACCAGACTTTGATACAGATTTAATGAGATCACATCTGGAAGTAAAATATCTGTCATAGTACTTGATACTTGAAGGTACATGGAAGATGGTAACTTGTTTTATCATTGTCATAATAATAATAATTATTATTATTATTATCATCACCACCACCTTATTAGCTCTAAGAAATTAGCTCCAAGGTTGGTCCTAGGGGTTGAAAGAGGCTTCCTTTCTTGGAAGGATACAAAACTGGAAAGTACTACTATCTGATTGGGATGAATTAGGTGAGGGCATTGACCAAAAGGGAGAAGTAAACAAAATGAACACCCATCCCCTTCTATACTTAAAGATATATCCAATTCTTTCTTCCCTGTATATGTACCATGTTTTGTCAACATTGCAAAATGCTATCTGTGTCACAGATCAGCTTTACCAGTTGATGAATCAGACCTCTAAGTGTAGGCAGAAAGAGCATATCAATAACCATGAGCCTCAGGACTAGTGTAAGGTTCTGTACACATACAGCTTATGTCTCTTGTGTTGATAGACCACTGTCTCTTTAAAGGAAGATTAAATCACACTCAAATCTAAATGCATTTTACTTCCAGGAAAATATAACTTTTATAATATATAGTAAATCAAGGGATTGGGGTGGGGGGTGACTGAGTAAGCCTGGATGCTGTGGGGAGGCAAAGGGCAGAGTCAGGGTTCAGAATATCTATGTAACCATTTATTGATGTTCCTACGTCCAAAGCTAAGAGGAGTAATCCTCCAGGCATACAACCCCAGCAGCCACTTGTTATAGAATCTTGACCAGTAGTTCTCAACTCTGGCTGTATAACAAAGTAAATCACTTGGGAACCAGTTAAAAGAAAACCCTCTAAAAAAACAAGCAAACAAGCAAAGAAAAAAATGGCTAAAACCTAGAATCCAGACTAATTCAATAAAAATCTTCAAAGATAAGACACAGAAATTAATTTTTTTAACCTAGTTCCTGCAAGATTTTACTGTACAGCCAGGGTTAAGAGGCACTGCATTTTTGTCAGATAATAGAATATATAGCAAGAGTCACAAATGCAATTTAAATTTTTCTAATAATCACATGTAAAAAGTAAGTTACAAGTGAAATTAATTTTCACATATAGTAGCCCAATATATCTAAAATATTTTGTAACACCATATATTGATATTATAAAACATAAAATTATTAATATTAAGTTTTTGAAATTTGGTGTGTAGTATCTCAATTCACACTAGCAACATTTTAAATGCCCAGTAGCCTTCTGTGACTAGTTGCTACTATATCAACAGCACACATCTAAGTTTGCAATAAATACTGTGATCATAAACCTGGAGCAGTAATAATGCCTAAGTCATAACTCAGAGTTCCCATATTCTTTCTGCTATAGCAATGTTTATTACTTGAAAAGCTAAGATATATTCCATGTTGCCTTATACTATATTTACAGTATTTATTTAATCATTGTGAACCTTTTTGTTTGTTTTAAATGATCTTTAGATCACTAAAGAAAAGTACCAAGGAATCTTAGGGGCCAGTTTTTATGGTGTTACTGGTAAAATAAATTATATTGAGCTGTTGACTCTTTTTTTTCTTTTTGTGGTACCGGGGATTGAACTCAGGACCTTGTGCTTGTGAGGCAGGCTCCAGAACCACTGAGCTAAATCCCCAGCCCTTGAGCTGTTGAATGAATGATATGAATATTGGTTTCAAGGTAGATCTTTCAATTTTCATGAATGAGTATTTATGTTTACATTTGTAATAAGACTCTGTAATAGCCGAGGAATTGCATGATAGAAGTTATAAAGGCTCTTTTTAAATAGACTTTAAAAAATGGAAATGCTATCTCTGTTCTACATTGTCTTTGCTTAGAGAAAAGAATAATATTATGAAAACAGTGCTATGAGATTAAGAAATGGCAGACATGATTTTTAATCATGATTCTAACATTCATATGATCATGGGCTTTTATTTTCTCCTTTATTTCTGAAGCACTCCAGAATCTGTTCAAGTTCTGACATATCTAGGAAGGACATAGAAATGGGTCATGCTAAATTAGTGCTTATAAAGTTGGTAGGTGAATAGGTATTTTCCTGGAATATTGTACCTTTACATTGCTTTATTTATCCAGACTCACCCTGAGATGAGATTTAGTTCTATCTTGGGAACATTATCCCTAGACTATTTGGCATATAGCAGGCACATATAATAACAAGGAAAATATTTAACATGACTCTATACCAACTGTATACCTTTAAAGAATGTTGGGTCACATTGGTGAGCGACTCCATTTCTTGTCTTAAAGCTTCATTTCTGTGTAAACCTTCAAGCCTTGGGATGTATGATCAAGACTTGTTAGTGTTGTTCTGTCTACACTAGCCCTACCTGTTATGTTAAAGACAAATGTAAAATCAGAGAAACCTAGGTTCTTGGCTCAGTTTTGTCATTGGATACACACCTGAGTAGCATCTTATGTATCTTCAAAACTCAGTTTTCTTGTTTGTAAAATGGGGATAACTGGGTATTGTATAAATGCTTTGTAATCTGTGATATGCCAAATATACATGAATGGGAATTATGCTATCATTTTGTTTTCCACATAAGAAATTGCCAGGTATATTGTCTTCTACACAGTCAAATCTGCCTTCCTCATTGTTTAGAATTTCATGTTTTCCTATGTGTGTTTGTGAGTGTGTTTTCACCTTCTTTTCCCTTATATACTGGGGATGTCCCTTTTATAATAGCAGGAGTTGATGTACCTTCCCAGTAGTCAGTCAGGTTTAATGAATTACGGCTTGCTGAATATTAGTCTCTATCTAATCTGTTAACATCTCTATCTGTTTTCCTGGGCTGGTTTCCCCGCTAGGAGCTGAGAACTGTCTGGTGGGATCGGATTCTATCTCTAAGTAGAAAATCACATCCTTGTTGTAGGCTTCCTTTTCCCTGCTGGGCTTCAACTCTAAGTCACTCAGACTCCTTTCTTTTGTCATTGTGCACAAGAGGAACCTTTGTTTTGACTTTGGGCCATGGCCTGAGGAGAGTTTGCAGCCTACTTGAAGGTAAGTTGCATTCAGGACACATGGCAGTTGAGGCCTTTGTTACAAAACTTGTTTGGTCAAAACATAAGGATCCTGCTCAGATGCCGTCAGGAAATATATATATATTTTTTTCTTGATTTTCTAAAAAGAATTGTGCTTTTCTTTGGTTTCTAGTTTGCCTGGAGGTATGGAGATAAAACCATACAAGGTTATTAGTTTCATTCCTTGCCTTTGTACAGACAAGATCTCACAGAAATTCAACCTTTTCTGTTTGTGGGGAAGACCACTGTTAAAATGCTACTTGGATTTTATTTATATAATGTCTCCTTTTGCAGCCATAAAAGGCCTTGGGAAAAGCTTTTCATCTATATGAAACCCTAGTCTCATTCACTGTGGGTTTAGAACTAGAAAGACCTACCTTTTCCAGGGGTGGCCAACTTAGGTGTTTATAGCAGCCAGGCAAGTCATTTTTCTGAATGAAATAGTCTGATTCAAGGAGTATGTGGGAGCCTATGTCCAGCTGGAAATGTGCATTGCCAAACTTTGGATGAGTTTAGATATGCCAGCCCTTGTTTATCCACTCAAGCTTCAAGTGGTCATAAGC